CCCCTGCTGGACCCCTCCCTGGGGTGGTCACACTGCAGGCATCCCTAGCATGCACGTGGGTGACTAGTGCGAGGAAGTGACTACTGCTGGTGTCTGGAGGTCAAAAAGAGTTAGATCTGGGACTGGACCAGTGAGGGACAGCCAGAAGAAGTAGGCAGGGACTACTAGGCCAACAACCAAAACCAGAGTACAGGACACTCTGTGGGACCAGGTCTTGTACTGTATACACACACAGAACACCTAGCGAATCGAATAGGCCTAATCTCAGGGAGATCAACCTGAGAGAGCCGCCCCGGCAACACGGCTAAATGATAACACGTCAGTGCAGCAACGTAGGGGAAGGGCTTTTAGACAGCACAGCATAATAGGAAGGCTTCCTGGAGGTGGTGGTAAGGTACTCCCAGAGCTAGCCTGAGCTAGCCCTGCATCAGATAAGGGGAGACAAAGAAAGCCTTCCTGCTGGTAGCAAGGAACTGACGGTTTTGGGGAGGGCCAGCCATGCAGGAGAATCTGAGCAGATGCCACAGACCAGGTGCCTGAGAGACAGATCACGGACTCCACAGGCGCAAGGCATGTTACAATGATCTGCTCATACCAGAGGCCAGCGGTGAGGCCCAGCCCCACGTTGGGAGACCAGGAGGCTGGGACCCAGTTAGGATCACATTCCCAGTCCAGACTGCGAGGGACGGACCCAGAGCCCCGGTCCTCGCCAAGTCTCGGGTCCTGTGACTGGTCTCCGAGCGCCGCCAGGCGGTAGAGCTCAGAAATACAGACCTGCCTGGTTTTTGAAGAGCCATCAGACTCGGCAGCTAAAATTAGAATAAAATGGGTGAGATTTAAAGTGCTGGCGGGAAAAATTACCCTCGCCCTTGGGAGCACGTGAGATCTCAGAGCATCCGATCATTTTGCCTAACTCTTATCCCTCTTACGAGCGAGAAATGAGGCTCCATCAGAAGGATTTGCTCCGCTAGCAAAATTTGCTTGGTTCAGCCTGTCTGTCTCAAGGCCCTACTTAGAACCCACCCATTCCAGGAAGCCTTCTGTGAATGCTGACGCTAAGCCAAATGCCCGAATGCATGCTCTATGCACTTTCTTCATCCACTTAAACCAATGTCAAGCCCACGGTTGTCTACAGTGCCAGGCACTGGACACCAGTGTGCTCCTCCTTACCCTTGATTCACAGACTATATAGGCTAGTAAATATTCAGCGACACACTGTGACAAGCACCATGCGTGGGTATAATCTAGCAAGAGACGGGACAAGGAGGAAGGCTCTGCTGAGGAAATCCTACTGTGCAGTAGCTATAAAGAATGAGCGAGAACTCGCAGTGAGTGAGGAGTAGCAGAAGGGACAATGTGTAAAGGTCCTGTGGCATGGAGTTGGGATTGAGGAACAACAGAAGGCCAGCGTGGCTGGAGGGTGAAGAGTAAAAAGACAGGTAATAGACACGGACCGGAGCTAGCTTAATTAAGTTTCTATTGCTGGGGCGAAACACCATAACCAAAAGCAACTCCGGGAGGAAAGGGTTTATTTCATCTTATACTTCCGTATCACCGTCCATCATCAAAGGGAAGTCAGGTGTCTTAGGGTTCTTATTGCGACAAAACACAACGACCAAAAGGCAAGTTGGGGAGGAAAGGGTTTATTTGGCTTATATTTCAGCATTGCTGTTCATCACTGAAGGAAGTCAGGACAGGAACTCAAACGGCAGGAGCCTGCAGAGGCCATGGAAGAGTGCTGCTTACTGGCTTGCTTCCCCCTGCTTGCTCAACCAACCCACCTTTTTTTTTTTTTTTTTGGTTTTTCGAGACAGGGTTTCTCTGTATTGCTTTGGAGGCTGTCCTGGAACTCGCTCTGTAGACCAGGCTGGCCTCGAACTCACAGAGATCCACCTGCCTCTGCCTCCCGAGTGCTGGGATTAAAGGTGTGCGCCACCAATGCCCGACTCAACCTACCTTCTTACTGAACCCAGAACCAGTAGCCCAAGGATGGCACCACCCACCAGGAGCAGAGCCCTCCCCGATTGACCACTAACTGAAAAACTGCCTTACAGCTGGATCTCAAGGAGGCATTTCCTCAATTGCGGCTCCTTCCTCTGATGACTCTAGCTTGTGTCCAGTACATCAGGACTGGAATCCAAGGCAGGAACCTGGAGACGGGAACCACAGCAGAAGTCACAGTGGAATGCTGCTTACTGGCTTGCTCTCCATAGATTCCTCAGCCTGTGTTCATATAGCACCCAGGACCACCACCCAGGGGTGGCATCGCCTACAGTGATGAGCCCTCAAACATCAATCATCAGTTGAGAAAATGCTCCAAGCTGGGCGGTGGTGGCACACACCTTTAATCCCAGCACTAGGGAGGCAGAGGCAGGTGGGTCTCTCTGAGTTTGAGGCCAATCATCACTGTCTTGAGTCAGGGTCTCATTAATCCCCATGGTTACCAAAAGGATTGCCTTATTGATTGGCATGCCTTGAGTTTGACCCCTAGATTCAACTACTGCTCACTTCTAGCAAGTGCTATTGAAAGGATTCTTCTGAAATATAGATGACCACAGCACACCACTGATAGTTCACTCCAACTCAAGTTCCAGGACAGGTTCCAAAACTACAGAGAAACTCTGTCTCAAAAAAAAAACAAAAAAACAAAACAAAAAGCTGGGCGGTGGTGATGCATGCCTTTAATCCCAGCACTTGGGAGGCAGATCTCAGTGAGTTCGAGACCACCTTGGTCTACAAGAGCTAGTTCCAGGACAGCCTCCAAAGCCACAGGGAAACCCTGTCTCGAAAAACCAAAAAAAAAAAAAGGGGGGGGAGGAAAATGCATCACACGCTTGTCCACAAGTCAATCTGGTAGGTACGTTTTCTCGGTTGAGATTCCTGCTCCCCAAATCATAAAACCAGTCAGCATGAGAGGTTAGGGAGGTGGGTAGGACCAAGGCAGGGGGATGCTAGGGATGGAATTCAGGATCTTGCACATGCTCCACGGGTTATCCAGCCCAGAGTCACATCTGCAGGAGACAAAGGAGTTTTGATGACAGAAGAAGAAAGCTGTTGAGGAGAGCAGCCCCTTAGGTTCTGTCTGATAGGGAATGCCCTGGAAGGGAGAGAGTGGAAGCAGGGGTGGTGACGTCATGGCAGCACCCAGGGGAGACAGGGGACTTGTGGGGGGTGGGTAAAGCTATAGAAGAAGGGGTCAGACTTTGACAAGAAAGGGTATCAGAATCAACATAAAGGATAAGCATTTCTCTGAAGAGTATGGAGCTAGAGGAGGCCATGGGGTCACTTTGGGCCTATTGGTCTGGATGTCTTTGAGATGTCCACAGAAAATGGAGGTGACAGGTCTGATGAGTAGAAGGGAGGCTGTTGGGAGAAAGGAAGGGATTTTCCATGTGGGGAGCCTCTGAGGAAATAGCATATCTGGAGCCGAGAGCTCAGGCCCATACACCTTGAATGTTGATGACACAGACAGGCGCGGCCCATGCAGAAACTCGGGAGAGGTTGCTAACCGGAAGCATGGCCACAGAGATCTAAAGAGCAGCTAGGCATGGTAACACACACCTGAACGTCTCAGTGCTTAGGAGGCTAAGGCGAGAAGATGAGGCTGGAGGCTGAAACAAAAGGGACATGAGTTCAAGGCCAACGTGAGCTGCAAAGAAAGACCTTGTCAGGAAAAGTTGATGCGGAGAGCATGGTGGAGGGGTGGCTCAGTGAATAAAGTGCTTGAGGACCTGAGTCCCATCCCCAAAACAAAACAAATGCACTGAATAAAAACAAACAACAAAAACAGCAGCATGTGCTTGTGGTCTCAGCAATGGCGAGAAGGGAGGTAGACATCCCTCAGTTCACTGACCTTCTAGCCTGATCTACTTGGCAAAATTCCAGACTGGTAAGAAACTGTGTCTCAGGCTAGCGAGATGGCCTAATGGTTGCGAACACTGGCTGTTCTTCCAGAGGACCCAGGTTCGATTCCCAGCATCCACATGGTGGCTCACAACTCTCTGTAACTTATGCATGTAGCGCACAGCCATAAGCAGGCAAAACACCAATACATATTTTTAAAAGAAAGAAGAAACCCTGTCTCAAAAGGTGGAAGGTGCCTGAGGAATGACAAATTTAGGCTGTCCTTTGGCATCCACCCACATACATGTGCCCATATGTACACACACACACACACACACACACACACACACACACGCACGCACGCACGCACGCACGCACGCACGCACGCACACACACAAGAACAGAACAAGGTTCCTACAGAGAAGACAAATGTCCTCTGGCTTTAGCAAGCTGACCCTTGGCTGGAGCTGGTGAGTGTAGGTCCAGTGACACCAGGCTGAGAGCAGGCAGCCCACCAGCTAGGAGAGGGAAAGAGGAAAACAATAGGTTTGATTTCAAGAGGAATGAAGCCAAGGATGGTATGTATTGGTGGTCAGGATCTGATTGGAAGAAAGTGACTTGAAGACCTAGAGGAGAGACAGGGTTCCGGACACTGAACCTGAGGGTGAGGGCAACAGATGGGGGGGCAGGGGGATGCTGCCCTATATGACATGTTCCAATACCAGAGGAGCAGTTCCCAAGGGAGAGCAAGAGCCCTGTCATGAGTGCCAGGGATTTGGGGTGATGGCAGCGTGAATATGGATGAAGAGGTTCGAATGAGGAAGTTAATATAGAACCAGGATGAGAGCTGAGTCATGAGGAAAGAATGCTGGGAATGGGGAGTGCCCCATACAGGGCAGAGCAGAATGCCAGCCTTGGGCCAGAAGGTGAGCCTAGTAACTTCAGGAAGCAAGGCCACCAACCTGTTCTTTGGGCATTGGGGAGGGTGGAGAGGCAGAGGTATGGTGGGCAGCAGAACCCTGGGGCCAAGAAGCATTGAATCTTCTAGGTTTGGGTGGAGCAGAAGACAGAAGGGGACAAATAGTCATGGGTCTGGGAGTATCGGCATAGCAAACCCACAAGGAAGTCTTGCAAGTAAGGAAACAGAGACATAGACACAGGGAGGTGAAGTTGTTTACTCAAGAGTGCCTAACCACTTATTACCAAGCGATTATTAAGTTCAGCCCTGGAGTAGAGTTTGGCAGGCCCTGCTGACGTCCAAGCAGCTGCTCCTGCCCTTCCAGCCTGCAGCAGCCTTGGGGCCTCCCTCCCTCACAAGCAGAACAGCTCCTGCCCATGCATCCAGGAAAGACAGTGATATTGTGCCGCCTCCACCAACCGTGGTACTTCAGGCTGAGGAAGCCCACTTTGAGCACTCAGTGACCCCAAAGAGAGTGGGGTCAGCACCAGGCTGCCTGCCAGGCCAGACCCTGAGTCCTGAGAGCAAATGGATAACTATGTAACCCCCAGGGCTGAAGCCCAGGGCTTGCCTATGTTTGGTTTTCTAAATACTGCAACAACCTTCCAGAGGGCCAGACCTCTGGTGGTCAAGGTGGCTCCCTTCAGCCCTGGTGAAAGGGGCAGGGGCAGAGTTGGATTTAAGAAGATGACAGATATAAGAGAAGGGGACTTCCTGTGGCTGGCTATGCTGCAGCCACATCCAGGGACGCCCTACCAGCTCCTGGACAATGTGGGTTCAGACCTCCCTGGGTCCCCCTGGGTGAACCCAGAATTTTGTTCAAGACAGTCAGTCAATATTTGTTGAATTAAATCTGGTTCAGCTCAGAGAGCCAGACTGTCTGAGTTTGAATTCCAGCCCCATGTCACTTCAGCTTTGCGACTCTGAGCATACCACTGTACCTCTCAAATCCTCAGCTGGCCGTTAAACAGGAGTAGCAAGAAAGACAGGTGCCATCTCACTTAAGAGCGTTGGGCCTTTAGGTTATTGTTCTCCTATCCTTGTCTTAAACAAACAAAAAAAAAGTGAGCCCAGGCTGGCCTTGAACTCGGGATCCTCTTGCCTCAGCCTCCTTAAAGTGCTGGGATTACAGGAATGTGTCACCATATCCATCCAAGTCTGTTTTGAAATTCTTAACCCAGTTTTGGACAAGGAGCACTGCATGTTCAGCTTGGGTAGGGCCCTACAAACGCTGAAGTCCTGAGTAACAGTGTAACTGCGGAGGCTCCCTGCAATATGATTACATGACATTGTCTGCCTAAGGTACACAGCGCATCGAAGAATGGGCAAATGCTGTCTGTCGGAGCAGCCCATGTGTGATAGCGAATGAATGCCTGAATGCGGGAGAGCGCAGGGAAGGAAGGCACCAGGCCTACAGGAGATGGGAATGCGGGGTTGAGAGGGCTCTCTGAGGGAATTCACTGCCAAGTAGTTTCCGCCTTAGTTGGTAAGCAGTGCTGTGGTGCAGACCCAGCTGCCACATCCCTCAAAAAGTCCACTTGGTAAGAGCTGAGGACGTAGATTCCAGTCTTTATTAGGCGGGTGTAGTCTTCGTCCCCTAGACGTGGTCATTCTCTGGCTAGTTCAGAATTTGTCAGGGGTCCACAGAAGCCTGGATCAACGCTCAACCTGCATGACCGCCCTCGAGGAGGGCGGGGCCTCGCGCGCAGGCGCCGAAGCGTCTCAGAGGAAGGGATTGGTGCCAGCCTGCGGGGGCAGCGGCCCCATCGGGCCGGGCGTGGGCAGCAGCGGCTGAGGCAGGCTCGCAGGCTGCGGGGCGAAGGCTCCGGCTTGCGGGAAGACGCTGACCGAGGCGGGGAGGGTCGCGCCGACCGGCACGCTACTGAGCGGGAGGGGCAGGGAGGCGCTGTAGGTCATGGAGCCCATGGGCACCACGACGGGGCCCCCAGGCGGCAGGCCCAGTGCGGGCGAGCCGGTGCGCATCTGGTTCAGGGTCGGCCTGCTCTGCTCGCTCGCGCCAAACGGGTTAGTGGGGGACGGAGCACCCAGACCTGCGGACGAGAGAACAGAGGATAAGGGCTTTGCACGGGCGGGAGTGGGGCCGGGACAAACAGGGTTCCCAGACGCCAGACCAGGTGTTCTACCTGTCAGGAAGGGGTTCCGGGTTCTTGCAGCCAGGGGTGCCTTGACTAGTGAGTCCAGGTTGACCAAAGAAGAGGCGGAGGGACCCAGAAAGGACTCCGGAGTCCGGCAAGGGCGCGCCTCCTTTCCTGGCTGCAGAGCCTCCCCTAGCACATTCAGGTCAAGGGCTTCAGAGTCCTTCATGCCGTTTTGCTTGCAACTGGGGCTGGCGTCTCCAAATGGGTCTAGCTCTGAAAGAAAGATGATCAGTTCAGTGGTGGGGAAGGAAGAGGGCAGAGGCGCCCCCCAGGGTCCCCCCTAGACCAAACAGCTGTATCCCCCAGCCTCTTGCTTACCCACAGGGCTGCTGGACTTCCCCGTGGCCAGGGCCGGGGCACTGTCCAGGCTATCCTTGGGCTCTGTGGAGTCTAGAGGTTTGGCAAATGGGTCGAAGGACGAGGCACCACCTGGAGCTAGCCAGGAGAAAAAGGGAAATGGAGTGAGCTAGAAGAAAGGGCACAGATGGGTCCTCTCTCCCTAGACTGTCCTCCGTATTGGAGGGAAGGGGACCCAGAAGTCCCCAGCTTCTTAGCTCTGTGCCCTCCACTTACCAGAGGTGTCAGAGGTCCCCACAGAGGCCCCCCAAGGGTCTGTTCCAGCGCTGGGGAGTTTGTGGTTCGGGGAGCCTGGTGCCCAGGGGTCTGCCGTGGAGGGTCCAGCAGGCAGCACTGGGGTCCTGCCCCAGGGCTCAGAGGAAGAAAGAGTAGGAAGCAAATCCCATGGCTGGCTTCGGGACAGGGCATGTCCAGAGGGAACTGGAGACCAGGGGTCTGCTGAAGGTCCCCAAGAAGAGCCACTTGGCTCAGTGTTCGACCTGAGACCTGGAAAGGAGAGATAGCACAGATGTTATCTCCACACTCCCCCACCCTTTGTCCAGGGCCCTGTCCATTTGCCCAGCCCAGGTTAGGTGGTGTGGTACCCACTTCATAAGTGGGATGCTAACTTGGAAGTTTGGCACTCTCAAACTCATGTTTAACAAATAAGCCCAGGAACTTGGACCCCAAACCTGGGTGTACTGACCTCATCAGGGCTTGGCTAGCCAGTAAGGTCAACTAGGCCTTCTGCTGAGCTTCCCAGGAACTAAGATCTGCAGATCTGCTCCCCTGACCCTTACTGCAAGGCCCTATCCTAGAGGCAGCATAGTGACCTTCCGTTATGGAGAGGAGGTGATTTGCCAGCAAGTGGCTGGAAGGAAGGGGTGCTTAGGGGCCAGTCTGGGGGCCTCTTGAAGCCCTGCACGCCCACCTGGGATGTCCCATGGGTCAGCAGAGCAGTGTGTGGAAGGCAGACCTGGGGCAGGTGCGAAGACGTCAGCCAAGTCCAGGATGGAGGACTGTGGAGGGGAGAGGCAACCGTGGCTCAGAAGTGGGTGGGGCCAAGAGGGAGGGGAGGCCTGACCAGAAGCCAGGTCACTCCCCTCCCTAGTTCATCCCACAGGCATCTTTTAATGACCCCTCACCTCTGGTCAGCACTTCCCATTTATAAAATGTTTCCTCATCCATTTATTGTCCCATTTCATAACATCCCTGTGAGGTAGGTAATGTACCTATTTTACAGATGAACTAACTAGTTGAATCCCAGGGAGAGGAAATGATTTGCCTGAAGTTACATAGTCAGAGCGAGGCAGAGCTGGGTTAGATCCCAGGCCAACAGAAAGGGGTAGTCAAGACTTGTTTCTGCAGCCACCTGCTCCCCTTCCCAGGGAACCTGAGATATTTTCAGCCCCATGACTTGAACAAGCTCCTAGTCCAGACCCACGCTATCACATGACCCTACAGCATGAGAGCTGGAACTGTCCCAAACACCCACTGTGCAAAAAGGGAAACTGAGGCCAGTAATATGTCCAAGTCATTGAGTGGCAGGAAGCCCAGAGAGTCTCCATCATGTCCCAAACACCCACTGTGCAAAAAGGGAAACTGAGGCCAGTAATATGTCCAAGTCATTGAGTGGCAGGAAGCCCAGAGAGTCTCCATCATGTCCCAAACACCCACTGTGCAAAAAGGGAAACTGAGGCCAGTAATATGTCCTAAGTCATTGAGTGGCAGGAAGCCCAGAGAGTCTCCATCATGACTCTCATATCCCACTTCAGTTCAACTTAGTCACCAGCCCGTGCTGCGGGCCACTTAGTGCTTGTGATGAGCTCTGCTCTGCACGCCTGCCAACCCCGTTACATCCAGTCCTGATCGAGTCACACTCCTCAGCCCACTGACTACCTGACTGGTTTTCAGCTTCTCCTCCTCCTTTCTCTCTTCTCTCCTAGGCTCTCTGTCCCGTCGACGCCGGCCAGCAGGTTCTGTGCCATTGGCCACTGGAGAGTCATCTTCCTTCCGGGACCTCACGCCCTGCAGAAGGGACAGGAAGTGCATGAGCAGGTGGCTGGGGTCAGCAGAGAGCAGGTGGGAGGTACCCAGGTTAGCGCAGTAGAGAAGCTGATTAGTGCCCCTTGATCTGCCAGCGAAGCCTTCACCAGCACCAAATCGTGGTCAGCACCTGTGGCCCGGGTGACTCCGCCCCTACACTACCTTCTCATGCTCCTGCCTGCTCAGGGTTAGAGCCAGCTGCAGCTGAAGGTCCTCATCCCTGTGGGAGGCTGGGGGGACTGGCTGTGAGGGAGGAAGACAGGTGTGAACTTGGTCCGGTGTCCCCACCCCAGGGCTAGAGGGCCAGCATAGTCCTTCCTGGGCATAGTGATGGAGACAGAGATGCCCCTTACTCAAGGGGATGGGCTTTGAATGGGTGGCTGTCTCCCTGCCTGGGTCTGAGATGCAGCTTAAGAATCAGCCTCCCGAGTGGCCGGTGAGAACCAAGCTTCCTTTCCTCCTCAATAGCCGTCCTGTGCAGTCTCAGGTCTCACCTAATTTTTCCTTCTGGCTACCCTGAGAACTTCTCTAGCCCACCCGTGGGAGAGGCATAAATGTTTCCTGCCTGGTCTGCCTGGATGTATGGAGGTAATGGCAAACATGATGAGGTATCAGATGTTGATCCTGTCCTTCCAAAGGACAGCTGGTGGGAGGGAGCAATAACAGTCCCAGTCTTTTCTCAGAATGTGTTGTCAGCACACACTTCTCCCTAACCACAAGGAGCAAGCAGGCCCCTAAGGTATATCACAGACCCCCCCCCCAACTTCATACCACCTTTTCTGGGCGCTGCCTGAGAACACCAGAAGTTGGAGTCCATGTCTGGGACAGATCAGGAACGCTGGCATGCCCAGTGCTGTCTTGGGAGCTACAGTGGGTCTCCAGGCCCAAAGGGGACAGCCCAGGTGGAGGCTACTGAGTACCAGACCCCATTCCTTCCTCCACAGGCACCCTGTACAGAAACAGGTCTCACCTTCTCAGCCTCTTCGCGGCTCATGGCCAAGGCCAGCTGCAGCTGCAGCTCCTCTTCTCCAGACGTCTGGGGCCGTGCCTGCTCCAGGTCTGAGGCATAGCGCGGGGATGAGGATGCAGCTGCAACAAGTGTGGCCCCCGTGAGCACACCAGTGCCCGTGGTCCCCACACTCCTCTGCCTGCCAGGAAGCTGGGACGCACAGAGAGCGATCCAAAGGAGACTGGCTTGTCAGGCACCCATGAGGAGTCAGGCCCTGGACACCCCGCTGTGGATTTCCCACTGTACTGCTGAGGCAGATGCCAGAGCCACCTTGGCAAGGAATAGACAGTGCAAGGTGGTGCCTGACCACGGTCCTAAGTCAGGAATTAACGCAGGTCCCTGACTTCAGCTCTTGAACTCTTCCAATAGGACCCTAGCCTGCTTAGGGCCATGGGGATTAGGAGAAAGGGATCTGCCAATCAAACAAAATCACAGCCTCGGAGTCCCAAGCAGGCCATCGTGGGCTGTATGGAGGAAGGCCTCTACCACTGTGACAAGCAAGCCATCAGGAAGGATGTTTCATCATCAGCCACCCTTGTTTTCAAAGACAATACTCTTGAGTGGTGGGGGTTTACAGAATGTCAGGTGTCTGAGCCAAAGGGCCAAGGGCATTCTTGGGCCTTGTCTCATTCAGTTCTCGGATCAAACAATAGAGGGAGGTAAGTGTCGCTCTGTTTTACAGAGCACTGGTTGCTCAAGCCACGCAGCTTGGAAGGAACAGAATGAATGGTATGCGACGCCAGAGCCTGCACATCTACCTCCAAGCCACCCTCTCGACAGATAACTAATAACAACAAGGATAAGCTGTTGATAATGTCACTATTTCATCTGAATTTCTGAGCACCTACTACGTGCAGGTATTGTGCTTTTCACACTCCCATTTTTTATCTGGATGTGTCCTCCCAACCTCCTTTCTGAGGTAGGAACTATCTGTCATTCATGTCTCCTGGCTGCAGAGCCAGGAGTGCGACTGGGCCACCACTATCTCCACCACCACCCTCTCCAGCCATACCGTTAAGGTCTACTCACAGGTGTAGGAAGAGGGGGAGCCCCGAGATCTTCGGCTGAAGCCTAGCTGCCCGCTGCCGATGCCCATGCCTTCCAGGGCCATTCGCTCTTTGGTCTTGAGGGCATGAGTTCGCTCTTGCCGCAGGCGCTCCTCATCCTTGAGCAGGGCCATCACCTGCTTGACCTTTTCACGAACATTGACGCCTTGGTCCTTGCCATCACGGTCTATGTACTGGAAGTCCTTGAGTGTCTGGATGGTGTAGAGGTTCTCACGACACTGGTGGGCCACACGGTCCGAGCCCGTCTTGAGCAGGTAGTCCAACAGTGTCAGAGCCTTGTATACATGCCGCCAGTTCTTACCGCTGTCATTGAGTCGCCGCCACAGCATGCCCATAACCTCGGCAAAGGCCACTGTGTTGAAGGTCAAGTCAGCAATCTCTGACATGAGAGAACTGGGCGGGCCCCAGGGGTCATTGCTGGTGGCCTCACGCACCTTGATCTCGGCCTCAGAGTAGTTGTGAACAATGTTCTTCACCTGGCGTCGGAGCGCAGAGGTTGTCATGGTTGGGGACTTGGAGGTGGGCAGTCCCTGCCCCCGCCGGAGGTAGAGGGCTGAGGGCCACTGTCTTGAGGTCACGGTCTTGAAGGATGGGCCACCTTGCTTTCAGCAGGGCGGCTGTGTCCTTGGGTTCCACATGGAGCTGAGAAAAAGAAGACCTCAGGATCAATGGCTTCCTCGTTGTTCTTTCACTCACCAAGCATGGCCTGGCCAGAGCGTCCCGGCTGCCAGGAACACCTTTGGCCAACGCTTACTTTTATTCTTCCAATTGTACTCACTACTCAATGAACCCTGTTTCTTTGGCATGCTCCTCTATCCATCCACCAGACCAAGAGGTTGAAATCCATTATCTCTACTGACATCCAGGGACAGTGGGACCCAGAGAATCAACCCATGGTTCCTCTGAGATCACAGAGCTAGCAGGTGGGTGCAGCCCTCCCTCCTCCTCAGTGTGTGGCTTCAGGGATCACAAAGTGACCACCAGGAATGTCACTCTCCAGCCTCACTCATGCTTGTCTCCTCATCCATTTGTGCTGTAACCTTTCCAGCTCAGCCCTTCGCTCTTTCCTCTCAGATGGCCAGCTTTCGGAATTTAATTCACTCAACCCCTTCTTCCTGAGGGTCTGTTCCAAGCTTGAGATATGCTTGTAGAATACCAACATCCAAGTGAAAGAATACAGACAATCACAGCCCAGTGTGGGCATGCTCAGGGGGAGAGCAAGTAAAATAGTAGGCAACTCCCTGTGGAAGTGACACTAAGTTAGAGACACAAAGAGGAGGGTGAGGAGGTGGAGGGAGCTGGCAGAGTAAGGAATCTGTGAGATGTGGAGTACACCTGCTGGCCTCTATCACATATGCACGGGAGTGCTGTGACCTGCCTACGTCATAGGGCATGTAGGTGGCAGGGCTGAGACTGACAACACCTAAGTCTTCTTGAGACTAATTCAATACCTATTGTCAGTGTCACCTAGTTCATTAATGAATTAATCTAATTACTTGTCTCAGAACCACCTTTTCAGCCAGAATGCAAGTTCCCTGAGGGCAGGAGCAGTCCAAGCAAACTACCAAGACCTTAGGCACACAGAAGACTCTGATAGTCAAAAAGAGGCAGGCTCAAGGGGACAGTCAGCCACGTCTTTCCACAGCCTCAGAAGGCAGAAAAGAGTCCCCCAAGGCCTTGCCAGAAACCCAAAGTAGGAGCCTCCTGCCATCATCGTGGCACTAATAGAGTTTTACACATGAATGCATGTGCACACACACACACACACACACACACACACACAAGCTGGGTCAGCAGAGCCTCCACTTTCTCCATGAATCCCCCATACCACCATAGAGATCACGCCTCCCCAGATCACCCTCCAGCCCCTACCTCAGCTGCTGTACCTCAGCCGTCCCAGCCTCCTGAGGGGTAGGGGTAGGGGTTGCAGTATAGGAAGTTTGTCCTTCCGGCACCCGCAAGTGAATGATTTACTCAGTTCAAAGTACCCACTGGGCCTTGGCAGGTCCCAGTCTTGGGCCGAAGGATGGGAGTCTGTGGAAATTGGATCCCTTGGCCCATAGTGCTGCCTACCTTATGTCTGTCTGTCCAGCCGGCCTTCTGTAAGAATGCCACAGTCACTACTTGTTTGACTCCTGCCCTCCCCCTGGCTAGTGACTCAGACCTGTGCTCACCTCCCCAGTGGGAGGGCAGGCTGGCAGTGGGAGAGTCGAGATGGGGAATAATTGAGCACGAAGCCCAGCCCGCCCTGGTGTCATGCTCCTCCCTGCTGACTGCTGGAATAGGCAGAACCAGTCAGGTCAGACATCCTGACTCTAACAGAGCCCTACCTGGGCCTGGCTTCCCAGGCCTTCCTACTTTGCTGGGATGGGTACAACCAGTTGCCATGGAAAGGAACCCCCTATGTAGGCTCCAAGGCCCTGTCTGGATTTTTCTCCTAGGAACAAGGTGGACATTGCTTGCACACCTTTGTTGGAGCTGGGGAAAGGAAAGGATCCGAAACAAAAGGAGAAGCCTTGAGCCTCCACCCCGGCCATTCCTCTACTCTCGAGGAGTTTAACACAGTAGGGACACAGTAAGGAGCAAGAGGGGCAGGGCGGGGTCCCAGAGCAAGCATGAAGCTGAAGCTGAGAGGAAAGGAAAGGAAAGGAAGGCGGGAGGAGCGGCTGGGAGCCGGGCCAGCGGTGTTACAAGCAGAAGGTTTTATCGAACACAATATGCCCAGGAATAAAAGGGAGTGAAACACAAACCCAGCTGCCGATAAGGCAGTGCGGCAGCGGCAGCCCAGGGCAGCGGGTATGGAATTACTGCAGTGACCTTGAGCCGGACCCTGCCAGGTGGAGGGAAGGACACTGAGAAGTTAGAACCTGGGGAGGCCACTTCAGAGATGGCAAGAAGGCAGGAGGGTACTAACAGGGAGCACAGGCTGCCCTGGGGGTGGGGGCAGAGAGTGTACATTCCCTCCTCTACTCAGGTCCCCAAGGAGGAATTGGAGTGGTGGGTGCCAGGGTGGGGGATGGAGAAATTCCTAAAAGTCAGCACCGAGGAAGCAGATGGCATCTCCAGGGTGGAGGTTCAGAGAGATGGAAGGAACCAATCACAAGCACGAATTTGCCAAAGTGTGTGTGCACCCCCACCAGCCAGCACCCCTCCCCATCTTCTGTCCCCATCAAGTGAGCAACGGGGGAGTGGCAGTGTCCTTTCTGATGCTAGAGGGATGTGGGACTGGATGGTAGCTAACCCTAGGCTTTATCAGACCTGAATTGGCTGCGTCCCTGCGGAGCACGGGAGTGGATTAGAGGGCTATTCTGAGGTTAGAGGTGCAAATACAGAGATGTGCCAGGATCCGAGGGGACCGCCACCAAGAACCTCGGTCTGGCCCTGTGTTCCTTTCTGAAGGAAGGTAGAGGGTTGCAGGTGAGAAGCCTCCAGGTCCTCCACAGCCCTGCCTTGCCTTCTCTCAAGCCTGGGGAGAGAGGCTAAGTCCTGAGCCCTCTCTAGCCCCCGCCCTCATTCAGGGCACCACCGCGGCGCGGGAGGGAGCTTACCTCCAGCGTGGGCTCCCTCGCCCCAGCCCCAGCAGGCTCTGCAGTGACCCTCTGACTGGTGGGGGTTGGCACAGCCTCAGGAGCAGCTCCAGAGCCATCCACCATAGACCCTGGTCTCGGGAGCCCCACCCTCGACCGAGAGGCACTGGGCCCTCTGAAGGGCAGCAGGGTACCCCCAGCGGGTTGCAGCTCAACCCCTGGCGGCAGCCTCCCCGACTCCTGCCGGCCAGCACTCTCCGGAGGAAAGTTGTTCAGCTGGCCAGGCAGGTCTGCCTCAGCAGTAACAGGACACAGGATGACGGGCGGGCGGGCGTGTTTAACCCCTTCCTGCTGCCTGCCGGGCGGTGCCTCCAGGGAAGGAGGCCTGCCTGTCCGTCTGCCGGGTGACCTCAGGGGTACAGACGTGGAGCTGACCCACTCCCACCCTGCAGTGAGTTAACCTTTCCACTACCTCCTCAGCTAGAAGGGGGGAAGGGGTGGGAGTGAAGGCAACCCCAAACCCCCCCACCACGCCCTACCCCTGCTAGCCAGGAGGATATTAAAACAGAAGGCAGAACACCCCCTGGGGTTTGCCTTTTCCGGCTCCCAGCTGGCGTCCCCTAGCCGCCACAAGGTGCCTGAGGACTCTGCCTCTCCAACTCTGGGAGGGCCCTGCCGGCTCTGAAACGCCTTCCATTGTCACCTGGAGAGTGCCTAAGGCTCATGAGGTCAGTGTGAATCCCACAGGATTTGGCTACTCCCAAGCTACCGGCTGCCCTTAATCCTCCATTGCACCTAGGGACCCCCAGCACAATTGTTTGCAGTTGTTACAACAGAAACCCAGGATGACTTGCAGGCTTGGCCTTCCTTTCCCCGCTGCTCCTTACGGTACCCCTCACCCATTCCACAGTCCCACACTCCTTTGTTCCAGGAAGGAGGGGGAATTCTCAAGGCCGGTTTTTTTTTGTTGTTGTTGTTGTTGTCTTGCTTGAGATATCCTCTTCTCCCCGTGTAGCCCAGGATGGCTTCAGAGTCACTATGTAGCTCAGGTTGGTTTTGAATTTACAACCTTCAGTGTCCCACTGAGATTACATTTTTCACCATAGCAGAAAAATGGCTCAGGGCCAGATGGGTTGACTGGCGGAAAGCATGAAGCCCCAAATACTGACTCCTGGCTTAGGACAAGGGTGCTAAAGAGAATAAAGGGTGCTAAAGAGAATAAGTGGGGAGAGGAAAGTGCTTGTGGGAGTTTCCTGGATTATTGCAGATCCATGTCCTTTAGTTTTGCTTCAAACCTGGGGTGGGTCCGGGCTCAGCCCCAATTCCTCCAGGGTTTAAAAAGCTTAGCAAATACCATCCTGAAGGATGAGTAGAGCTCAAGCAGGAGATGCCAGAGAGCCAGATCCCGTTAGCTCTCCCCCTAGTCTCTCACGTGGTCATACTATGTGATGCCACTTGAGTTGGCTCCGGGAACTGTGACCCTGAAAGTGTGGGCCTGAGGAGGGACTGCTGCAGAGACAAGGCGGCCTGCCCTGCTACCCACTCGCTGTCCTGCTTGTTATCTGCACAAGGCCTCTCTACATGTGGGTGGCTCCCAGGACCCCATGTGGGCAGGTGGGATCAGGACCTAGACGTCACCTGACAGTTGATTTCCAGCATCCCTAGAGGCACAACGAGAGTGGAAGGAACCTAAAGATTCTTTATTGACTTTTCCTAACCATTCTCCCAGGAGGCAGCCCGGGCCCAAGAATCAGCTGCAGAAACGCAAAGGCTCTTCAGTATTCTTTAGGGGGCTGAGCTCATCAGCCAGGACCATCATGTCAGTAATCAGGCTATCCAGCAGCCCATAGACCTGGAAGAATGGGACAAACATCAGAGGCCAAGTTTCGCTCTGCACAAGGCACTTGCTAAAAGAGAAGATATGGAGAGGGGAATGCCAAAGTTATACAGTGTATTGCTCCATGTAATTGTTTTTCAGATCTGGAGTGAGCCTGGGCGCAGTCCCAAATCTGTGTTGGTTTTCCAGTAGCCAACTCTCCTTCCTGTAAGATCATAGATCTACATACTGAAGCTTCCAAAACTGAGACTGGGCTCTCTTCTGCAGCAGGACCACACAGCCTAAAAAAACTGACTCTTAGTACCATAAAATCAAAGAAGGGTTTGTACCCCCAAAGTCCCCAGAGCCCTATAATTACTTTCTAGATCCCCATCAACCATCAGAAAACTCAATGATGTCATAGGTGGCAGCAAACAGAACTTCTGGTCAAATGAGACCCTGGGGTGGTCCCACAAGGAACAGTAATGTAAGCCAAGATTCACAGTGCCTTATCAGAGAAAGATGAGGCATCCCTGTTACTACCTGTGTGGTTTTGTAACCTTCCCCCATGCCTCGAAAAAGCCATAGTAACCAAAGACCAGGATGACCTGGGGGCGCCTCTGAGGATCTGTTGCTTTAGGCCAGATCATGATGAAGCTTGTCAGCACATTTGCTACCCTTTGAATGTACACTGCCCTCTCCAGAGCTCCTGTTAAAATGGGCTTCCCATGTGAGTGTTGGGAAATCTGGGGACCTTTAAGAGGTCTTTGAGTCATGAGGGCCCACTCTCACAGAGCAATTAATACCTTCACCACAGTGAGTTCTAGCAGTTGTCAGAAAGCAAGGCTGGTCTCTTTGTGTACCTTCCACACAAGCCCAGTTGCCCTTCTGCTTTTCACCACACGTTGAAGCAGCGTGAGTCCCTCCCCAGTGCCCCACTCCTGGGCTTTTCTGGCCTGAAAAGCCGTGAGCCTAAAATCAATTTTTCTTGTAAGTCACCTAATCTGTTGTATTTTGTTATAGCAACAGGAAGAGGACCAAGACAATCCTACATGCTAGTCTCCCAAGAAACATACCTGCCTCTGTGTGTGTATGTGTGTGTGTGTGTGTGTGTGTGTGTGTGTGTGTGTGTGTACCTGTGGGGAGGCGGGGAGGAGGAAGCAGCCCTAAAAAGGTAGAAAGGTAAGGGCTTCACCCCTGTTATGTTACTGGGAGTCTTGTTTTCCAAAGGACAGCTAGAGGCACCCTAAGTCCAATCACATCACACTCAATGAGGAACTCTGCATGACTTGTGGGGTCACTCAGAGAAGACCTCAAGGCCTCACACAGGCCAGCAGCGAGTCCTTCTTGACCAGCTGCATGCTCTGTGTGCAGCAGCTCTTCCTCGCCACTCTGCTGCTCCCTCAGCAGCAGCTGCTCCTCTGCCTAAGGCACCCTTCCTTGGCCAACCTTCATTTCTCTCTGGTTTTGGTTTGGTTTTTTTTAAAGCAGGTGCTCCTTGGTGGAATAAAGGAAATGAGAGATGCAGGTGTGAGGAGGGCTGGAAGGCATGGCGGTCCCCTCTTCCCTTCACCTCTGCATGCAACCTGTGGGTATATTTCTCCATGACCAGGGGGTCTATGGGCTCCTGTGAAGGGGCTGTGCTGTCAGGGGTAGGGTCTTCCGAGGAGAGCCTGTCCCGGCTAGCAGACTTCACCACTCTCTTGTCATCCTTTATCTTCTGTTTCTTGCTGTTCAGGCGGTCCTGTTTTGAGAAATGCAGAGGCACATAACCTCAACAGCTCCTGAGGGAGGTCTAATGTCCTCTCCAGAGGCTCTCCTGGAGCCACCGCCCCCCTCCCATGGCCCCTCCAGGGCTCTCCCTGGCCCCATCCAGGGTGCAGGCCACACCCATACATACCTCTTTCCCTGGCATCTTGGCCCCCTTTTTTTCCTCTTTGTCTCTGATACCTGGCACTCTCTTTTCCTGGGTGGCCCCTTTACGCTCCTCCTTCCCAACTTTACTGACTGATGCCTTCATTTCTGTGACTGGAGGGGACTTTTGACCTAAGAGGGGAAAAGTGGGAGACATACAGAAGGCCCCCTATGGCCTGGCCTACAATGCAGGCTTATGCCAAGGCACGCTGGGAGATGAGGAAATCTGAGAGAATCCCTGCAGGCTGAGAGCAGAGAGAGCTAAGGAAGGGAGCAGGGAGTGCTCCCTTCAGCCTCCCATGTGACCTCATGGAACAAGACTGTGTGGCAGGGGCAAGAGACAGGGGGGGTCCCAGTTCCACTATATTTAAACTCTCAGTGATTCAGCGTGCTAAACAAGGGAACTCCACCAATGTAGGATCCGAATCTCAAATGCTGACAACAGATATAAAGATGGATGAGCCCCCCATCCTCCCACCCCCGCCCCCAACCATGGGCTCAGTCAAGTACCTACCATAAGGGGATAAACAGCCAAGGTCCTACTGCCTTCAGGGCAGAGGACTGAGGAAGACTACACAGAGGTGAGACCTCACAATGTCTGACCTTGCTCTTCTGGAACATCCAAATAAACTGTCTCCTTCTCAGGCAGACCCAAAAGAGCCCTTAGCCACAGCGACTGGCTTACCAAGCTGTCAATCACATCTCGCCACAGCTGCAAACTAGAGGAAAAGACACACTCCTCATCTGTCCTTGAACCTGCTGAGGCTCGGATGCCTCCCTTTAAGGACTCCAGGGGGGGGGGGGGGGGACGACCCTGAAAATGCCATGTTACCAAGCAACCAACCCTCCCTGACGCTATGCAAGTGTTTACAGTGGAATCTGGCTTCCCTGTGGCGCCAACCAAGAAACAAGGTCTAGGATTAGTGTTAAGAAGCCTGAATCGAAAAACCAAAAAAAAAAAAAAAAAAAAGAAGCCTGAATGAACTCAGTCTTGCTTCGGAGTCTGAATTCCTGCTTGGAGTGATGGCTGGACTTGGTTGGGCTCCACAGAGAGGGCTAAGCCACACACACAAGATTCCCAGCATAAGGCTCCTGAGACTGTGTTCTGGGCCCTGCAAAAACCTGTCCACATGAGTCCAGACGGGCGATGGGTGGCTGACAACAGAGAAGTGGAGAGGCTCCCTCTCTCAAGTGTCCCCTGCTTACCACCCCCCACAATTCTGCTCATTGAGAAGGAACAAGACAAGGGGAAGAGGGAGGAAAAAAAAGGCAAACTATTTGTTCTGCTGTGACGGATCACCAGAGAAGCAACTGGCAGCTGTGGGCTGCTGTGGCAGGTCCCAGAATATGAGGTGTTTGCAGCATTTCCTAGCATCCTGAGCTCAAGGGAAACATAGCCTTCTGGATTCCACAACTCCGTTCCCAGGCCCAGGCAGGTGCTACCAAGAGAACGCGATCTGGGGTGGTCCCTTGGAGGGTACCTACCACATCTGGTGCAGGAGGTCAGACTGCAATGGCTTCTGCTCCTGGCACAGCTCCACAGCTGCCTTGTTAAGCCGGATAAGGGCATCCTCTCTCTGGATCTCCTCAGGGAAGGTCATCACCACCTGGTTAGGATCATGGACACCATGGACAACCATTCTGGACCAGAACTCCAAGGGTCCCTGTGTTCTCTAGCAATGGACCTGGTTACACAGAACAGGACCCCAACTAGAAGCTATGGAGTCTATGAAAGAGCCTTCTACAGAAGGCTGTGCCCTCTCTCAAAAACCGATTCCTGCGAACCCCAGCTCCTGGTTTAAAAAAAAGTTCTGACTCAAGACACTGCTTTTTCTGGGCCCTCAGGTTTCATCTATATGCTCTTGGGGCAAAGGAAGTTGCTGGAGCCTCTCCAGCTGGTTCCAGGAACGAGTAACATGCTCAGGGATATTCTCTACCAACCCCTTCAGAGTCTTAGAGGCACCTTTCTGAAGTCCTCCAGGCAAAGGTTCCACTTGGGTAGGGGAAGGCTTTCCGGCTCCCAGGGGCTCCTGGTAGTCTCCCTGTCAGGACTCTCCTCCACCAGAATCTCCTCCATGATGCTCTTCCTTGGAAAACTCTTGGTGCCTATGCTAGTCTTCTGATGCGGGAAGGGATCTCGTGGTTCCTTTAGTGTATCCATCTCCTGCTTCGGTTGCAGGGGTGAGGCCTCCAAGACCTGGCTCTTGTTGCTCATCAGGTGATTGGAGTCTGCCAGAGACTTCTCGACAAACAGAAATGGCGCTGGAGCAAGCCGAGTTCGCGACCTGAGGGCATCCTCCTGCCCTGCTCTGGCCTCCTCAGTCTTCAGAGGCACAATGGAGTATTGTTGCCACAGCTGGTGCAGGCTTTGCACTATTTGATGCTGGTAATGCAACTGCAGCCAAGATGAGGGAAGACACACACACACACACACACACACACACACACACACGGTTGGGCCTTCCAAGAAAGGCGAGGTTTAAATGAAGAATTATATGATGTTCTCGTCTTACTAAGCATCCACCCACTTGTAAACTATTTTGGGTACGTTCTAACTTCTCTGGGCCTTCATTTCCCGTATTTACATCCCGTAAGGATATAAACCGAACTCATTATCTCTTAGGATTGCCGTGAGGAGGTGAATTACTTGTGGAAGACACCCAGCACAGGCTCCAGCATGTGGGAAGGGTGTGCTGCTACAGTCACCTGAGTGCACAGGGCCAACTCATACCCGAGGATTCCTGTAGTGGAACAAGTCCTCCTCGGTGAGATAGACGTCCACAGGGGACGGTACGCGCTCTGGAGTTGAGATGCCCCTCAGGACCTCCTGCAGCATGCTCTGTGCGATGGTGACAGCCTCATGGGCAGCCAGCTTATTCTGAGGAAAAGAAAGATGGCCCAAGATGGCAGCCCAGGCTCTCCACTGCCCGTGTATCCTTAAGGAGAGAGTCAGAGTACTCTAGAGTAGGGTCTGAGCTCCTGCCTGGACATCAGTCCCTCCAGACACCTCTTATTTCAAGACTCAAAATTCTTTAGGCCTCGCCAAACATCCATGTTCCCCTCAAAAAGGTAAAAGGTATCCAGCAGAAGCCAGTCCCAGAGGAGAGAAACCTCTGAGCAGCATTTGGACCCTCCAATACCCCCATTGGAAGAAGGGGTACAGACAGAGTGTACAGTTTGGGCACTGTTAAGAACGGTCGTGACCTTTCCTCTGGCCTGGCCACAAAGTGAGTGTCATAGAAACCCAGCAGAAGGGCATCTGTGTCTCCATACACAGGTCCTAGAGTCATCAAATACAGCAAACTTGGCCTTTATCAAAGTCACAATCGATCAAAGTCACAATCTGACTGGCACTGGCCAAGCCCCAGCCTGAAACAGGTAACTGTGTGTAGGACACCACGCAAAAGTCCAGCTTTCCACAGGAAATCCACAAAGCATGGCATAATAAAGCCACACTCATTGAACAGGGACAGAGAGCCCCCAGCTCTCACCTTGCTCTCTCCAGGGAGGCTGATGATGGAGAAGGGTACTGAGGCTGCTCATTTAACTCGTCTCTGGGTTAGAAGTGTTGTCTGTTCACTCCCACTCCACTGCGCAGGAGCAGGCGGCAATGGACAAAACACAGCCCAACCCTAAAGTCTCCCGTTTCTATCTGGGACTCAGCCCCAGTGTGAAAGCTCCTACGAGGGACTCTGTATGGACTTCTGTGAAGTCTGAATCTCAGGGTTTCAACTTGTTCCCTTCTAACTAGGGGCTACAAGATAGGGTCATTTGCTGTCCTGCCCTTGCCTGCCCTTCCAGCTTTTACATCATAAAGGCCTGGGTAGTATTTCCTAAGCAAGAGTAGTTACCTGTCTGTGTGGTGAGAAAAATCACCTCTCAAGATAGGAAAAATAAAGATCCCTAGAGGCACCCCTGAATGGTCCAGCCTCACGTGCTGTCCCCGTGGCTGCGGTTCTAAGTCTCTTACCTCCAGCAACTTCCTCTCATCCATAAAAATGTCCTGGGTGAGTGAGATAGCATGGAGAGTGACCTGAAGGACAGCACCTCCCAGGAGGGTAGGATGGGTCCCAAATTCCCAAGACTCCCTGAAGATGCCAGCATTCAGAGACTTGAAGAAGAAGGTAAAGTGTTTGCTTTCCCCAGGCAGAATCACGCCTGAGAGAGACAAGAGACAAGAGGCAGAGGCTGTGATGGAAGAGCTCACCCGGCCACCAGTCTGCCTGTAGGAAGCTCACTGCAGTCCGCATCAGCCCGCCAGGTCTGTGTCCCCCTGAACGGCTACTCCCTCTCTGCATCCTCAGGGGTTCTACTGTTTTCTCAACATATGTGAATAGATGACCACACGCTTCATGAGAGAAACGAGAGGGTCCAGGCGGAGGGAGGGGATGGACTCATAGGTACTAACTAAACACTGGGGTGTCCCAGTCACTGAGACAAATGGAGGAGGGCAGCTTTGGGGTACCTTCCCGGTTGTTAAAGTAAAATCGCTGTGTCCTGTTTCTCTTTAGGTCTTGGAAAAAATCCATCTGGGGCCGCCGTCGCCAGTCATACCAAATGGCCACAGTGCCATTATTGACCACAGTCAGTTCTGAAGATGTTTTCTCCCCTTCGAGGGTCTCAAATGTCAGGCGGACACCAATTCCAATGTTTTTCTGTGGGAGGAAATGGGTGCAAGCATTGTCTTGGCTAAAGATCTTGCCCTAAGGTGACCAAGTTGTCCCTGTTTCCTATGACTTCTCTGGAAGTCTAGCATTCACACTGGTCCTCTGGGCTTGGTCTCCCTGAGTGGTGTCAACTCCTATACTGGTAATTGTCTCTGAGGTTATCTCCAGTACTAAGAAGAGAAGCATTTTACACCCAGTGTTTGCTTCTGCTCCTTAGCATCTGAAGACTGTTCTAGAACTGGCATTGGAGAGGTGACTTGGAGGTTAGTTTGCAACCCAAAGACTGGAGAATCCAGGTTGAATGTGACAGCCTGCCTGCAATCCCAGCACACAGGAGGTGAAGACAGAATCCTCAGAGCAAGCTGGCTGGCCAGACTCATCCAAACAGTAGCTCTAAGTTCAGTGAAAGTCCCTGCGTCAGTACACAGGTGGAAAGCAAGAGAGGAAGATACTCTGTCAGCCTCAGGCCTAGACACTTATGTTCCCACAAGTGATGTGCTCCGCACCCACATGTGTGCTCACACATATTTGAACATGCACATGTACACAAGCCTGCACACATATCACATACATATACATATACAAAACTATAATAATTATTAAGCACTAACCTAAAACCTCCATCTAGCCCTATCGATATAAAAGAGTTTATTTGAGTGCTTGAGGGCTAGGTAAAAAATAGGTATTATCAGTAATACATCCCCCCCCCCCAGGATTTCTTTGTGTAGTCCTCGCTGTCCTAGAACCAGCTCTGTAGACCAGGTTGGCCTCTAACTCACAGAGATCTTCCTGGCTCTGCCTTCTGATTGCTGGAATGTAAGGCATGTACTATCACCATCAGCGTTTTTAGCCTTGTGATCTCATTTTTGCCTAAGTTAGTGCTCCTGCTTCCATTTTTGGGCATGTGGAATGTGCGATCAGATAAAAACACATATCAGAAACTGTGTGGACTCCTTGTGACTGTCACGGTCACCTTGGGGCCTGGCCCTTCCTGAAAATTCATGAGACTAAAAAGGCAGTTTACCTTGTCATCTGCATTACTGCCTCTGATCCAGCAAGCTGGCTTCCCACAGAAGAGCAGTGAAGGGCCGAGAATAGGCATGGGGACCATGTCGGAGAGGTTGGTCAATGAGTCTCTGTAAGGAAAGCCGAGTATTTATTTTCCTGGAGGCTGAGCACTAACACCACTTGGAACTGTTAACACATTTGTCAGGAATCTAGAAAATGGATCAGACTTGCTGTGTCTCCTCAAGTGTCCAGGGCCACTCCCTGTGCGTAGCTGTGGAAGGCTCTGGGGGTGGGAACTTTAAGTAGCACAGTAATATATGGGCAATCCCCAGTAGGACCCAATTGTGGGGAAAGAGAAGAGGTGGCAGACAGCTGGCGTATATGCTGGAATGGGTTAGAGGAAAGGGAGGCAGCTACTGGCAAGGCCTGGATGAAGCCACTCTGATTTTGACTTCAGAAAGGGAAGCCTGCCCTCCAGCCTCTCTCCCCTGGGCTCAGACTCACAGGAACACCGTGTCTTCAGAGGAGCTCTTCAGACTCCTTTCCAGTGGTGAATACTCTTCTACCGTGACAGATGAGAAGGGTTTCCCATGGCCCACCACCTCCAGGCCGTCTATGTCCTAAGAGGAGCAGAGAGAAGGAGTGTGAGCTGACTGGCAGGTTATCACATGAAGCACCTTGGGATAGGCTATGGAGGCATTAGCAACCTCCTGGCTGAAATCCAGCTCTGCCATGATGCTCCGTAGCTCCTTGCGCCGGTAGATCAGAAACAGGCTCCGGTCCCAGGTGTAGCGGTACCAGGCATCTTTCTGTGTTGGTAACCCTGGAGTGGAGATGGAGGGCCTTCAGCACAGGCTGCCATTATGCCTGCTTCCCACCCTTTGCCCCAGGGTCCTTAGAACACTCATCCCAACAGCGCTCCTGAGAAGGATGGGGGCTAGAATACAGCCTCTGCGGGGTGGCTCCACTCAGTTCTCTGGTCCTCTGCCTCCTTAACAACCCTATACAGGAATCCCACAAAATAAGCTGCCAGAGAGCCAAATCGTTGGATTGCAATAACAGCAGCAACTACTTTCTGGAGCCAGGAACCCTTAATGCATATAATATCTCTTTTAACCAACCCCCACCAATGCCTACGATAGAAAATAAGGACAATGGGAGCCAAATACCTCATAGAAATTCAGAACGCCAGTACAGCTGGGGTGTAAATCTGTGCAGGCTGGCAGGCTCTAAAGATGACTACCCCATGGAAGTATAATACAAACCACAAATGCAAGCCATGTGCGTTGCTTCAAATTTTCAAGATGCATGTTGAAAAGGTAAATCTCAGGCTGGAGAGATGGCTCAGAGGTTAAGAGCACTGACTGCTCTTCCAGAGGTCCTGAGTTCAATTCCCAGCAACCACATGGTGGCTCACAACCATCTGTAATGAGATCTGGTACCCTCTCCTGGCCTGGAGGCATACATGCAGACAGAATACTGTATACATAATAAATAAATCTTTAAAAAAAAGAAAAGGTAAGCCGGGCGATGGTGGCGTATGCCTTTAACCCCAGCACTCAGGAGGCAGAGGCAGGCGGATCTCTGTGAGTTCGAGGCCAGGCTGGACCGACAGCCTCCAAAACAATACAGAGAAACCCTGTCTCGTAAAACCAAAAAAAAAAAAAAGGTAAATCTCACCAGTATAGAAATGACTACTAAAATATTGTCTTTTCAAACTGGCCTACACCGACAGTTCATTTCTATGCAGACTCGCCACATTCCAGGGACTCAACAGCTGCATGGAGCTGGTGAAATCTCTATGCCAAGGATCCTAACTTCTCTGCCTCCATTACCACTTCTACCAGTTTCTCTAAGGTAGGAACTGGATCCCAGGTAGAGTCTGGGGCTTGCTCAAAGCCAAGTGAACCAGGATTGGGACCAGAGTCATGCTGCCCACACCATACTGCCCTGCCTCCTGCACCAGACACAGGAAGTTAATGGGTTCGGGCCCTGCTTCTCACCACTCTCCACTTGGATGGAGTGGGGCTTCCTGATGTGTGTGATAGGTTCCACAAGGCCACGCTGAGTTTTTGTTTTGGTCATGAGCAGGCCTGTCATCTCATCTCCCAGGTACTCCAGTGGACTCCAGAACGAATTGGTTGCTTTAAAACCCTGACAAGGAAGGACAGAGTAGTGAGGTCACCTCTGTACCTCACCCAGAGGCTGGTGGGGCATCCACTGGGACCCAATGGCAGAAGAGTGGGCATTTAACCACTTTCTTCCTTTCAAGATGCCAGAAAGAAGGGGTGAGCTGGTCCCAGCCCAAACATTCACTGATGTGTCAAAGCACAGCACAGTGGTTTGACCTTGGTTAAACAAAAACAAAACAAACAAAAAGAAAGGAAAGAAGGAAGGAATATATATATATATATTATATATATATTATATATATATATATATATATATATAAAATCTTTAGCAGACAAACATTAAGACTCTTATGATAAACTGACCACCAGGGACCACCACAGGCTAAATTATTAAAGTGAGCAGCTTGGAAACATGAAATAATACAATAAAGATCCCAAGGGCTTAACAATGCTTGGTAATGGACAGGCTGTTTTCTCCCCAACCATGTAACTAGAGACAAACTGGCACCATTCCCCATGTGTTCTCTCTCTCTCTCTCTCTCTCTCTCTCTCTCTCTCTCTCTCTCTCTCTCTCTCTCTCTCTCTCTCTCTCTGTCTCTCTCTCCCTCCCTCCCTCCCTCTCCCCTTCTCCTCCCCCCCCACACTTGGGAGCAGTGTCCTCACTTTTCTGTCATGCTGGGTTGGAAGTGCACGGTCAATGAGTTCCCGCTCCTCCTGGATCTTTCTGTAGCTCTCCCCAGCGTGCATCAGCAGCTCGCTCACTGGCTTCTTCAGATGCTCTAGAGAGGGAGAAGGAAGGCCGTGACCACTGTACCGAAAGGGAACACACAGGCTCAGTCAGGTGACCCACTTTCAGGCTCTCTTCAGGACCCTCTGAGGCCTGAGAACCAGAGGGTCTCAGTGATGGCAGCACAGATGCTAGTCAGTGTGAGTCCAGGCTGTGGAGGGGTGGGGGAGAGGACACAGAAGGACCTCCATGCCAGATGGAGGCCTGGCAGGTCCCTGTCAGCTCAGCTCACCGCTGAGGACTTCCTGTTGCTTCTTCCACAAGGCAACATGCCGTCTCCAGTTCTTCAGGAAATTGTGCTGGAGAGGTGGGGCCCATGGAGGTCGCTTCTCTTCCTTTGGGGCCTTTGGCTTCGGCTCTTCTTTAGCTGAGATGAGGGTCATCAGACAGGGTTGGATGTGTACTAGCTTAGCTAGCTGGAACATACAAGTAGAGGAGGAAGTCAGACCTGGGCCCAGGTCCCAGCTTCGGTCCTGCTCTAAGAATTCCTCCTCTTCAGGACCATAGTGTGGCAGGAGACAGGAAACAAACCAGGGGACCTTGGGAATGCTGACAGTCCGCTCTGCCCAGAGGGTCAGCGTCCTTTAAGTTAGCTCTTCTTCACAACTTATGGTTTCCACCAGAGCAACCGACAGGACCCAGTACCCACCCTCAATTGAAGCGAAGGATCCGAGACAGAGGAGTGGTGTGTGACAGGGAGGTAGCACAAGGAACAGTGGGGGACATCTCCCTCCAGCAACCCAGTCTCCAGAGATGGGAAATGAGCTGGGCCCAGAGTTCTGCGTCTTGTGGGGTTCAGTCTGCCCAGACCCTGATTTCCACAAGGCAAGCTCTGAAGTCCTTCTAATAAATCCCCACTCCAGCTGAGGGTGGCTTAAACAGGCAACTGACCACTGAGACTTGCAACTACGTCCCAAAGGGCCACTTATCTAGGCCCAGAGACTGATCTATCTCTTATACCCATACACCCCCATCTACACACACACACACACACACACACACACACACACACACACACACCTTTGACTCTGCAGGGGAGCAAATGACTTCAACCTCATAGCTCTGGATGAACAAACCTGGGTATTCCCTCGAGCAACTGCGATCCTTTTAAAGTCCTGGAGACTCCCCAAGATCTGGTGAGGCAGGATCTGGTCACCACTTAAGAAACTGTCGCCGGGACCTGAGGAGGGAAGAGGGGTGGAGAGACAGAAGCTGTGAACTTCACAGCTGCTTGAGGGAGAGTGGGCTTTCTTCCAAGATCCACCCAAGAATGCCAGGCCTAGAGAACCCATACCAGAGTAGTCAAGGGGCTTTGTGGTGGCATCAGGATGAGCGGGATGAGCCACCAAGTGGTAGACTTTCCTGCTGGAGTCCTTGGGTTTGAGCTTACGGATGATAAATTTCTGTGTCACAACAGGCTTTCCTCCTGTCTCTGCAAACCGAGGAATGTGTTGCTAAAAAGAAACAAAGCTGAAGAAAATGCTCCCTGGGAAGAAGAGGAGGGACGTGTACACACACACACACACACACACACACACACACACACACACACTTCTTGGTAGGATTCCTGAGGACTGACTTCCCCAGTTCCATCCATACGTCCTGTTCTGGAAAAGCCTGTGTCACAGACCTGAGATTTAGAATTGACCTGGAGGGGTAACAGTGGCACCTGGCATGTCCAGACAGATTAAGTAATAGTGACCGACAGGTAAGGGGAAAGGCTGGAGTTCATCAGCCTTGTGCTCTTTTCTAACCACGCTGCTTACACCTACTTGCCCATCTGCAGAATGGGCATGGTGCTTGTCCCAAGGTACCTCACTATTTTGTGGCTCCACCAGAATCTCAAGATTGGAAAACCTAATTTCCTGTATGTTCCTTCAGATGCTAAAGTAAAATAATTTGCATTTGATGGATTTTTCCCCCATCGAATTGGTGACTCCTTGGATTGGGAAGCTGATGGAGGGGAGGATGGACCATGAGGATGGCTGGGTGTTCTAAGGGATCCTTGACCTTC